TGCTCCGAATACACTGGTGCTCCTTCTCCTATCTGACTACTGATAAACGTCCTTTTAGGAAGTGATTCTAAAAGGCCTTCATGCCTTCTTCACTGTGCCTTTTAGAAAAACTATTTTCAGACTGGAACATACTATATTAAACAGCAGATAGGTAAACAGATTCTCTGGTTCTCTTTCCTTGTACACTTACGGAAGAAAATAGAAGAATCACATTCCAAAGACTATTTAAGTATTTGCGGTGGCCCAGCTAAGTAAAAGAGGGGAGGAAAACTCAACATATTCTAGAAATTCTTAGCTTGAGTTTCTGCTTGATGATGCATTTGCCCTAGTTCTGCCTTATACAGACTTATGAATCACTGTCTGACGACACACACAATTCCCCTGCTTTCATCTCCATGGTCCAGACCACAGCTCATGCTCTTCTTGTCATCCTGTGTACTGACCAAACATTTTATGAACAGATAAACACTTGCAAGAACACACACAAACATATGCTTGCTACAAGAGGGGAGCTTTGACTGTACTAATATAACCAAGATGTGCAGAACTGAAGGCTATTAGAGTGAGCTGTTATGTCTTGTGGATTAAGCCCTCACATTGCACACAGTGCACTTTTCAGGGTTTTAATTTCCATGTTATCTAGCCTCATTCCATGTGTTGAATACCCATTTGTGGTTGGAGTGCTTTAAGTGCATTCCTGGAGCAAGTCTTTTATTTTGGTTTCAACCAGAAGAAAATCAGATCATGCTGTCCAAGACCTCTCCATAATGCAAATCATAGCACAGAAGCAGGGGAGAAATAGGACACTAGCTTCAAAACACTAATACAGATATTTTAAACCTGACAAAGGTAAAAATGAGAACGAAAAGATAAGTTACGATCTCTTTCTACTACCATTCAAAGAGTAAAAACAAACAAACAAAAAACCCAAAAAAACTTTACCGATAAAATAAACAAACAAACAAAACCCCAGGCAAACAGGTACACACCTCCTTTACCCAGCTCTGCTGGCACTGTTGAGTATTTCCAAGTTTATTGCCCTTGGAGTTTTGAAGTTCAATCCTTTTATTTTAAACATATTTGTTTTAAACTTCAATTGTTATAAACATTTCCAGGCCATTTTTTTTGGCCTCTGTTTCTTCAGAGGATTCCATTGGAATCTACATACATTATACATTTTTAAAAAATACATTGTAATGGCTGGTATTTAAAAACAAAAGAAAATAGAAAACTTTGCATATCTATATTACAAAATAAATAAAACCTTACTGATTCAAAAGATCTCATTTTGATCTATTTATAGGTGTCTGTTAAATTATTCAGCAATAAACGTCCAAACAGTTTGTAGCTCACAGGCAAAGCATTACTTGTTCTGGCTTTATTATCCTCTCTCCTCCACTGTCTAGACTGTAAGGAGGCATAGGCACTCCTAAAATTTCAGCAGTCAATGATGAAAGATCCTTCAAACTTCCTTCCGTCAACCTTTTAGCTACATATTTGTTTCCCTCAGTTCTCATTTGCATTATAGTGAGTAGGGTCTTACTTTGAACTCGTACAGCACCTTTCATCTCAAAAGCTCAAGGCAAGTTTAACGTGCCTATCTTGAAATCTATAAAACTTATTTTACCCAGACGGAAATCTCGGCAGCTGTGTGAATTCAGAGTATCCGATTAGGATACGGGAGGAAAATAAAACAAAAACCCTGTGCGTTCCAGCCAAGTGGATCGGGGCTTTTAGACGCAACCACGATACAAAGGAAGATTTAAGTAGAGAAACTATGTCCTAAAAAAATGA